ATACCTTTAGGGTTCATCCGTGCAGTGGAGAACCAGGCAGCACAAAGAAACACAAACACAACACAAGCTGCAGTGTTCTTGATTAGCACCATCACAGTCTCTGATATAACTTGTATGAGTAGTCTTATTCCTTTGGGAAGGTAAAGTTTTACCTTAAAATGAAATTGCCTAAAAGAGAAATCAGTTCCAAAGGGTAAGTTTTCATTTATAGGAAGTGAAGGAAAACCCAAGTCAAAATTAACCAACAATTCCGTAATCCAATCAAATTTAAATTATTCATATACCTATAAAATCTGAGGGCAACTTTTAGAAGCTATCGTTGCAAAAACTAGTCCTTGAACGTTCAAACACTAGCTGTAATGTATATAGTATTTCAAATGCTTGGGAACTAAAACTATTTCTCAATCCCAACAATTACAACTTCAATGAATCCCCATTACAAGTATCGATCGATGTATATTTTTGTAGTCTTTATATTTGTTCTTTCTGTTGGTCTAGCAATAAAGAAATCATTAAATTTCGTTCTATCATTTCTAAAATTTATTTTTGTCATTATTTAATATTGATTTATGAGCATCTTGAAAATTAATGGAATATTTTTTGGGTGCCTAAATTGAAAAACTAATACCATATTTATAAAAATGGAAACACATTTAAGTATAAAAGGTTTGAGAATTTCTACGTGAATCTGTGGTCCAAAGAATGTAAAGAACAGTGGCATTAGAGTTTCAGACGTAGTGCCACCATTCTTGGGATAGGAGAGAGTTCACAAAGGGTTGACAACAAAGATGGTGTTACTCGTGATAACGTGGAATTGAAGCTTTCTGTGTTTTGCGTCTGTCTACCACCATGCATTCAACGAGAAAAGACTATGTGCTTTTAATTTCCCGAGGCAGGCACACTACGTTAAACAATGTGATTCACGAATATTAAAATTAAGTTACTAGATTTCCCATGTAATAGAACATGACCATTTTGCAGTTCAAGGTTATTGTGGACAAAACAAGTTATTTAGTACTAACTACCCCCATGTTTTATAAAAAGAAAATATAAATGAGAGCGAAAGAAGTCATTTTAAGAGTATTTATATTTCATAAAATTAAAATGGCTTGAAATCATTGCAATGTTTTTTAAAATTTTAGATACATTTATATTGTTAACATTTGAAAAGTAATTCGTAGGTATATAATCAGAAACAGTAAGAAAAGTATATAGACATTTGGTTATTACCAGATATTATTTTTATTTGTGCGCATTATAGTTTGTAATTTGTATTATATGATTATACGGTTAATTAAAATCATATGTTCTTCTATGTAAGAATTCGGTTAGTTGGGAAGCATGAACCAACCAAGAGGTCTCACCAGTCAGATCTTAAACATGATTTAGAATTAAAGATGATTATATTAAACCAAATCATGATTATTACATGTTGAGTCGTAATTAGGTGGGTGTTAATTCGAAATCCACTCCAAAATTTGTAAAAACAAGTTTAAGGTATTGTTGTAGGTTTACATAAGTTTAAGATATTGTTGTAGGTTTACATAAGTTTAAGGTATTGTTATAGGTTTACATAAGTTTAAGGTATTGTTGTAGGTTTACATTTAATACATATCTATTGCGAACTGTCGAATGTATATTGATTTTGACTAGAGTACCTTCTGTAGGTAGTCTTCAAGTTTTGTTAAACAACAAAAGTGAAGTGAATGACGAACGATGACTTATACAAAAATGTCATACGAGCGAAATAAGGAGAACAATTGACCTCAACCTCACAAATCGAAACATAAATCATTCTTGAAACGTAAAATAGATAACTATAACTATTCACGATTATCCTTTCAAAACCTGTAAAATAGATTTTATATATACAACAAAAATATGTTTACTTATTGTTACTTTTTAGAGATAAGATTAAAGAGTTATTCAAATATAATTATCTTATCGACACTTTGTAAAATTTCTTACATATATATAAAATAGAAAGTATTTTTAAAATTGTGAATATTGTGAAGTCTTACAAAATTTATATAATTGATTAAAAATGAAAACAAGTTTTATAAAAGGCACTCAATATTTTTCTTATTATTAAAAATTCAAAACTATAAATAGAACTTCTTTAAAATGAATTTAATTTTATAAAAAAGTTTACCTTTCTAGAAACCTATTTTTTTTGCGGGTAACAGGTACCCGCGGGTCAAGTAGTATATTAACCGTACTTGACCTGTTTAGAACCGGGTATTAAAATACTTGTTACCCGTTACTCGCGGGTAGTAAATACCCGCGGATAGTAACTACCGCCGCAGATTTTTTGTCATCCTTAGATGAAGTGTTTTGGATTCTTTAAGAGAGGTTGGACTAAGTCTTGGAGGAAGGTGTAGAGTAGACCACTTAGATTGCTCTAGCCCAGGGTGACCTTAGAAGAGGTTGTGTGCACAAAATGACAACATAACTTTACTCTATTTCCAAAGGTGATTACATGATGGAGAGACATCTTTATTTATAGGCTAAGGTGTCTCAAAATTGACACAAACTTAGATCTAAAAGAGCCACCTTGGTTGACTTGGAGAGCAAGGACAAATCCTCTCCAATAGGAAGGAAACAAGAGACAAAAATTCTCTCAAATGAGAGTGACATGTGACCATTATCTATGGAAAAACTATTCTACATGACCACTAACTAGGAGAAAATGTTCCCTTGTTCTCCAAGCTTAGCCAAAATGTTGACCCATTACTCAACCCCCCAATTTAGACGTCCAAACATGGTCAAGATTGGGCTTTGGCCCTTTGTTGACTTGGTTGGTTAAAATCATATTTTACTTGACCCAAAATACAAAGCACAAATTGAAATCCTACACTACTAGGCTCATAACGAGGTTTCACCATGCACCTTCAAATTCCAGATTTGCCCTCTAATTAATGAGGTTTTGTAAATATTATCATAGTTATTATTGATTATCATTATTACTCATGTACCACCTTATTATCATATATAAAGTTAGCATTTGTGTTGTATTTATTATTTTGATTTGTATTATAAAATTAAAAAATTTAATCACAAATGAAACTAATAAAACGTGTGTTTAATGTTCATAAATGAAAGACATAATTATCAAAAACATTGTATCGGACATGAAAATCCAAAAAGAAAAACAAATTATATTTCGAGATCTTATGTTTTTCCTTTCGAATTTTCATATTCGATACAATGTTTTTGATAGTTTTTCTTTAATTATATTATTTGTAAATATTTATTAGATTATTTTAAATTTTTTTATTATATTATTTCTAAATGTTTAATTAGGTAATTTGTATGAATTTGAATTAATTTCATTTATGAAAAAAAATAAATTTATTTAAAATTGATAAAATTTATTTAAAAGTGATATGAAAAATTTAAAATATTTTTTAGTAGTGTTAAGTATTATTAATTCATTAAAATATTTTAAAATAAATATGAAATATTTATAAAAAAAATTATTTAGTTCATAATTAATTTATTAATGCAAGTATTTATATATTTATTAAATCTTATTCTTTTATTAAAAAATAATTATATATCTTAAATTATAAAACCAAGATATTTTAATGGAGATTGAGAATCTGAGTCAAAGAATCTAGTCAAAAGTTTCTTTTGCTTTTATTAAAAATTAATAACATCTTAATAAAGGACATTGCAGGTATTTCAGAAAATTTTGAAGGTTTAGGATGAAACCTTTGGAAGTGCAGGATGAAACACCTCTCAAATAAAATCTAGACTATTTGGCTCATAATACAAAACTTAAATAAAATCTAGATTATTCGACTCAAAATATAATATCCAAAATTATTCTTATTTTGTTACATCTATATAATATTATATCTTTATGATAGTTTAAAATGGTTCAAGAGAAAGAGTATAGGCTGATCTTTCATTAATCACTTTAACTCTTCATTAGTATACATCTGACTTCATTCATTTGATTTCTTTTATATTTCTTTATAACTTTTCAAATGAATATCATTATTATTAGGCCAGCATGAATGACTTGTGCAAGGTCCTCTGTACGCAAAAAGACCTCTAAATTGTGAGGATTTTCAGATTTTTAAAGGTCCATAAATATACATTATTCTTTTCATGTTTTTATTTTTATATTAATGGTCGAGGAGTCGAATTTTGATGATAAGAGTAGAATCTCCAAAGGCATTCCTGATCACTGTCCAGTCACCACAAATACACGACGCAACGACTTTGATTAGTATGATTTGGTTTCTTTAGCAAGAAAATTTTTGTCTCCCTTGTTAGAAAAGGAATAGTATAATCACCTGCTCTGTAGAAAACATCCGTATAGCTTTCATTTCTATTGGTTGAACCCGTGTTGCCGTTGCACATATATTACTTTCAGTAAGTATTTCTTAATTAACTACATTGAAAAGTCAATTAGCTTAACCTGCTTATTTTGTTGTCTTTATCGATATCAAGAATTATTTACCTAGATAATTATATAGCACCTTTTAGATAAAAGAATTAATAATATTCTACTTTCAGGTTTCAAATAATTTTCAATTTTTAGTCACGAATACAACGTTCAAATAAAATAAAATATTATATATAAATTAAATTGAAGAGGGTAGAGTGTTAATATGATAAGCTCGAAACCCTTTTTACAACTTAAGTTAAACAATCGAAGGAAGAGGTGTAGTTGAGAATTCTATCTACTGGGTTCCTCTCCCATAATTGGAAATCGTCGATACTAAAAGATGAAAGAAAATGAATTTCCTAATAACTTTTCTCAGCAGTTGTTATTCAACTACATGAAGTAAATGATTAACTCATAGAAAACTTAGCAGATGCGAATGTAGATTTGAATCGTGATAAAAATATAAAAAGAGAGTATGCATGTACTCGTATAAACGAATTTTGTATACAAACAAACACACATCGACATAAAATTTTATGACTATAGCACTTAAAATTAGCACTATATTCCAGTCTGCAACATTACACGGAGTAATCTCAAACTAGGAAATCATTTTGAAGAAAGGGTCCTCTAGCAGGATCTCTGGCCAAATGGTGCAATTGTCGTCCACATTAGTCAATGAAACCTCTGACGTGACCGGTGGAACAACATGGGCAGAAGGAGAAGAAGGGGTAGTGCTTGAACACGAGAAAAGCCACGGAGAACAAGAAGATGGTGTTTTCAATTCAGGCATGTGAGAGAAAGGGGTGGAATCATTAGCCAATTGGACAGTGCCAATTCCATTAGATGGTGACACACTGGTATCATTTGAAACATTGACGATGTCGTTGTTCATCATGAAGGTACTGTTTGTCATACTACTAACTGTGTTAAGATCTGCCTCAGTGAATTGTGGCTGCACGAGGTGTTGTTGTAAGCTTTGGAGGTTGGTCAATTGGATGGCCTCTTCTTGAAGCCTTGCAAGGCTTTGTTCCCATGATTGATGGTGCTGATCCAAAAGTTCTTTCAGGTTAGCCAGTACTATGAGATGAGACAAGCCTGTGAGAATATCATCAGTTCGAGGCTGGTGTGTCATTGGATCATAACCCATTTGAATCAGCTTCTTCTTCAGATGAGTGTTCCAAAAATTCTTGATTTCATTATCTGTCCTACCAGGTATGTGACTTGCTATTGCGGACCATCTAGTGTGGAATGGAGAAAAAAAAATTGAATTACAAAATCAAGAATTGTGAATATAAATGCCATAAGAGTTATGAATATAATTACTTGTTTCCAAGGATGGCATGGAGATCAAGAATTGTTTGTTCTTCTTCTTTGGAAAATTTTCCTCTTTTAATGTTAGGTCTCAAGTAGTTAGTCCACCTTAACCTGCAACTTTTGCCACACCTGTTGAGTCCTGTTACCAGATAGAAATGATCACCTCTCATTAACTATGTTAGAGAACTTGAAAAAGAGAAAGTATTCATCATGAGTCTCATGACACTGTGATCAATGCATTCAAAATCATTATAGTATTATTAATTACCTGCAAGTTTTGGAAGTGCCCTCCAGCTTGCATGACCATATTTTTGAATGTGGTTAACAAGCTTCTGATCTTCCTCAGGTGTCCAAGGACCCTTCTTCAAACCACTTTCATCACAGCATGGAGATCTTCCCATGTCTATTATTTTATGGTATGTCTCTCTTCTTTGTCCTATCCTTCCAATAAGGGAAACTTAGTCACTTCTTTCAAATTCTAATGTGGGATATGGGGTAGATGCTTCCTATTTATAGGGCGAATATATGGCGTGTTTGTGACCCACAAGGTTGTTTGAAACTCATCATTTACCTAAAACAACTGTTCATTTTCTTAGCTAAAATTACATATAAAACCTTCGTCAACCCATTAGTGGTTGGATACTGCAGAAGTAAACTACTTTTAAACCAACATGTAACATTATTAGTTTGAATTGATCTTTTTGAAACCTTAAAGATTTTTCTTAGTTACTACCTCCAAAGTTTAAAACAACCATTGTATACGTGCAGTTTCTGTGGCTTCATCACAATGCGTCAGCAACAAAACGAATCCAGTGATGTCATGTACGAAAATCTTGATGATTTTGCTATAAGAAAAGAAAAGAAAAAGAGGGATTATAGCCTTCAGTGGATCTAGTTAGACGAGAAGTTGGTGCGGCAATCTCTCTAATTTTCTTACCCTCTCTATAACTCACTTTGGTTTCATATACTTTATAGGCCATTAATGGGTTCTTTAATGCATTTTTTGGTCGTTTCTTCTCTGTCTCTGTCTTGTATTTTTACCAGTAAGAGCTATAACTTCATCGTTTCTTCCTATGAAACTGAAAGATAGCGTGTTTTCTTTGTTGGTTGCGATAATAACTTACACACGAATCCGCGTAAAAGGACTAGTTACGTAACTTTTCTACAATAAATGCTATGTGGTGCAAAATCTGGAATGGTGTTGTTTTTCACTAAGATTATAAATTTTGAAAAACACATGACAATAAAAACTCTCTTTAGCATTCCCATAAAACCGACGAAAATAAAGAAAAGTTAATGGTAATCCTTGAGTAGTGTCCTCCTTAAATAGGCCAAAAAATTCACAATCCCACCGTAAGAAAACGGAATATTACTAAGCGATATAATTCGTCAATAATAAAAAAAATATGTCAGTAATTTAAATCAAAAAATTATTAACGTTAAAAATTTGTTTTTAAAGTGTTCATCGATCAATTTTACCAATGTAACATGAAATTCATCAATATTTTTTAGATTTCGGTGTAGCAATTGCAATTGGGTTCTTATCTCTCTTTTTTTTGTTCTTTTTTCTATTTTTCTTCTTATTCTTTCTCCTTTTATTTTTCATTTTTATCGGCGTCTTCCTCACTACTATCACGATTATCGTCATCAATCCTTTTCTTCTCTTTCTTCTCCTTTTCCTCTTCCTACCCTCCTTTTCCTCTTCTCGCCCTCCTTAAACTCTGGTTAGCATTGTTATTGCGTCTTCGCGTCATTGTCACTACCACTCGCTTCAAATTCTCCTCCTTCTCCTTGTCATTCATTTCTTCGTCTCTTATTTTTCTCACACATCTTCTCTTAACATATAAAACATATCATCAGATTGGCAGAAAACTTGCCATTTAATTTATCGATAAGATAGTTTGTCAGTAATATAATGAGTTTATGACTCACCATGAAGCCACAGAGAACGTTTCAAGGAGAGTGACTAGAAGCATGACTAGAAGGAGACCTCAAACCCAACTTCTTTGTCTTTATTTTTCAATTCCTTATGTTTACTTTTCCTAAGTTGATTTTTGTTGACTTGACTTTGGTTGTCTTGTTTATCAAAGTTGACTTAACTTAAGTTGGAATGTTGACTCTTTTATTTATTTATTTTATAGGGTAAAATTATGTTAAATGAGAGGAAGATATCATTACTTAGAATGGAGGAGAGCCTTAATCTTGGAACCAACTAGGAGAGGTGAATGTTTGGAGAGATGGAGAGCTTGAAGTTGACCTTTTAGAACGGAGGTCAATATGCATGCTTTTGGATAAGCTTGGTGGCCAAGCTAGGGTTGTCTTCTTTTTAAGACACCTCCTTACATGCTAGATGTTCAATTTTTCACTAACAACAAAGACCAAGTTATAAGATACACATATGTTTGCCAAAGATTTGACTCATCTTAGAGTAGTTTTAGGTGATGATTCTTCTTGATATTAAATTGACGTTGGAGTTTCAAGAGATTCTAGAGCATGTACATCGTAATCTTCTTGGCTTGTAGTGGGTTGAATGATGGGCATGTATATTTTCTTCCTCTCAATTCGCTCTACTTCCCAATTCTTAGTAACACTTTCATTTACTTTATTGTCCCTACTAATAGTTAACTTCTTTATTTGAAGATTGTAGACTCTGTAGCCTTTTGATTATGTAGCATATCCCCATAAGATGCCTTGAATAGTTTTGTCTTCTAGTTTATGTCTCTTTTGGTTTATTTAGCAACCATATCCAAATACTCTTAGATGTTAGGTTAATGGTTTCTTCACCCTCGAAGCTTTGATTGGAGTTTGAAAACATAGGAAAGCACTAGGGAGTGAATAGTGTTTTTAAAACATTTCAAAAATGACGTTTGATAGGTTTTCAAAAGATTGATAGACAAAATATATGTTTAGCCAAAGGTATTTCAAAAGGGCATTATGAAAATGATTGAAGAAGCAAAGCAATAAAGAACACATTTTATACTGGTTCACTCAATCTAAGCTATGTTAATTTCTCCCTTAAGAATTCTTAAAGGGTTCTACTAATCTTCAAGAAGATTACACGAATTTTACCTCTTCAGTTTAACAACCAGTATTCTAACCACTATTGGTACACCTAGTCAACACGACTAGTCCGAGTTTAACCACTCATGGTATACAAGTACTCTAACCACTTCTCGTCCAACCTTAGATAACATGTCTAGACTATTTAACTCGACTAAGATAAACACCAAGTATTTTAATTCTCTTAAGAATGTACAACACAATCAGTGTTATGAGCAATTATAAATTGATAACTCTAAAGAGAGGATAACAACTACAAAGAAATGTGAGACTTTTCTAAGTTCCATTAGTACAAAAACAGCGTATAACGTCACACGTTTAACGTCCAACGTCCAACCACTGAAGAACCAACGTTAAAAATGAGTGGTGGCATTTTTGTAAATATATGCAATTATTAAATGTCGTTTAGAATTGTAATTCGACGTAAAAGAATATAAAACATCAAATGACTTTTAAATTCGTCGTCAAAAGGTTAGTGCATTCAATAAAAATTTGAGCAGGGAGATTGAAACTTTTCTCAACCGAAGTTTGACGAGCATCACATGTAATCTTTATTTCATTTGATACTAATGTGTAAGACCCGTATAAATAAAATGATTCCTTACCTTAAGCATATTATTTTGTGGTATTAAATAATAAATTGTGATGAGAATCAATGTTGAGAAATATTTAAGGAAGGGAAGAAAATTAAATTAATATTGGTTTCATATTAATTTTGGAAAAAAGTTTGAAAGAGTGTTTAAGTATAATTGTTTGCGCTATTATAGTAGCTGATGGAGCCTGGTCTAGTGGTTGATGAGAGTGTGCATGGAGGGTGTGTGTGCTTGGTCTCAAGTTCAAACCCTCCTAAGTCTAAAAAGGCTCCTAACTCTTTTTAATAGGTAAGGGGTTTAACTTGGGATATAACATAGTGTATGATGCGTAGAAGGTAAGGGGAGCTAGTGTCTTGTTGAAAATTTGTTGTATGATCTGTATGTCTGTTAAATTCTGAGCTGGTAAAGCTTCTGTTTGTTCAAATATTATCCTTGTCTTTGTTTATGTTTTGGATTGAAACAAATTACTATAATTCGTCCTCGTCTTCGAATCAATCGACATTTTTCACAAATTTTACGAACCGAGGCGTTGATTTTCATATTTGACATTCCTTAATTAGTTAATCCCCAATTGTGGAAGAAAATAAAGGTTCCTTACATCTTGAACGTCTATTAGTGGCTTTCTCAATAAAATAAAGTTGAGATTCAAAAACATCCTAATTCAATTGTTAAATTCTGAGCTGGTATGTTGTTGATATAAAACTGTGTTATTATTGATAGTTGGAAGAATTGAGGGTTTTAAAGGATAGAAATGAAATTGGGCAACTTGTAGAAGTGAATTTGGATTTTAAAGTGTCAAAAGTGGTTTGATACACCTAGTCTTGGATCTAGTGATCAAATGGATGTTTGTTTCAACTTATAAACGTGTTTCCCATCAATACTAATGTGTAAAGAACCCCTTTAGCCATTAAAACAGGTTCCAAGTGCATCAAAAGTAAAATTTCATGGTTGTTGTCAACTGAATGCGAGGTGGTTCGCGCCCAGCGCCCCCGAGCGACCCTAAATGCGAGGCGGTTCGCGCCCAACGCCCCCCGAGCGCCCCTGGGCGTATCAGCATGCTGTTGTCTTTGTTTTTATAGTTTTTGGGGTTTCAGATGTCCGTTTTGGACGTTCCTTAGGTCGTTTTGGGGGTTTTAAACCTGTCTGGAACTGTTGGTGATGGTTTCAAAGCCATTTTCTTTGTCTAGGTATGAGTTACGGGGTTATGAGTTGTTTAGTGGTTCTCTTGGGACTGTTATTGTCTGGTAATGTGTATTGGATTGATTAATGTTGTTTGCTTAACAGATTGTCATGTACGGTTATGTATGTCTTGAGTGGAAGAAGAACATGAAGAAAGAATTATGAAAGTGGAAGGTGGAGATGGGCACATTACAATAGAGGCAAGGAGAAGTAATGAGAGTCTTGGGGTAGGAGTTGAGAAAGAAAGGAATGGAGTAGAGTCTTGGAGTTGACTTGAAATGTTATGGAAATGAAGAAAAAAAGAATAGTAAAATGAAAATTGTAGTGTTTAGGTGTGTGGAGAAGGAGTTACATGGATGGAACGTAAACGAGGTGAGGAATGAGTGTGAAGTTAGGATTGAAAAGTCAAGAAGAGATTAAACAAATTAGAAATAAGTGTTGAGGGATTTAATGAAATGAAGAGAGGAAAACAAGGAGAAAGTGGTATATAATATGGTGGGGTCTTGAGTTTTGGTGGATTTAATTTAAGAAAAAAAAGGGTAAGGTGGTTGGCTGAAGGAGAGTGGTTACGTAACTTTGGTGTGAGGAAGAAATTATTTGGTTTGAAAAGTCAATATTCCCT